ACTATATGGGGGGATGAATTACTATGGGGGGATGAATTACTATATGGGGGATGAATTACTATAGGGGGGATGAATTACTATATGGGGGATGAATTACTATAGGGGGGATGAATTACTATAGGGGGGATGAATTACTATATGGGGGATGAATTACTATGGGGGATGAATTACTATATGGGGGATGAATTACTATATGGGGGATGAATTACTATGGGGGATGAATTACTATATGGGGGATTAATTACTATAGGGGGGATGAATTACTATAGGGGGGATGAATTACTATATGGGGGATGAATTACTATAGGGGGATGAATTACTATGGGGGATGAATTACTATGGGGGATGAATTACTATATGGGGGATGAATTACTATATGGGGGATGAATTACTATGGGGGATGAATTACTTACTATATGGGGAATGTATTTTCAGTTTTAAAAATGTGGCTCTCAAAATAAATTTCAATCGTGGTTTTGGCGAGATTTGGCTCAGTTGAAAAAAAAGGTTGCCCACCACTGTTCTATATGAACATTAGTAATACGCTCTGGTTGGTTTGAGATGATCAGGTCCAGTAGAGCATCATTCCTAGTCAGGGCCTCTGTGACCTGTACCATAAAATTATCTTGTAATAGGTTTATAAATTTTTGTCCTTTAACTGTTCCAGCAGTGCCAATACTCCAATTAACCACTTGCCTACCGCCCTATAGCAGATATACTGCTACAGGGCAGCCACTCTGTGCAAAATCATATATATATATATATATATATATATATATATATATATATATGTATGTGATTTTGCAGTTCTGGGTAGGGGACATGAGTGCGCGTGCCACCCTACCCAAGCTGCCATTGGTTGCAGTGGATGTCAATCACCAGGTCCAGGCCGAGAAGCAATGTAAACAACATAGATCTCTCTCCTATCAGCATGGACATGCTGCTTTCTCTCTCAGTGCACAGCAGAGAGAGAGAAAGCAGCATGTCTCCCTAGTAAAACAGCACACAGTGTAAGCACAACACAACACACAGTTAGCCATTTGATCGCCCCAGATGTTAACCCCTTCCTGCCTATTAGTACAATGTCAGCTTTTTATTAGCACTGATTACTGTATTAGTGTCACTGGAGATGTCAGTGGCCATTAGTTCCTGCCCAGTGCCAGAATGCCCTCCGCAGTCCCACTAAAAATCGTAGTTACATAATTAGTCTGGCTGAAAAAAGACAAAAGTCCATCCAGTTCAACTACAAAAAAAAAAGTTATAATCCTACACCCACAATTGATCTAGAGGAAAGGAAAAAAAAACCCAGCAAAGCATGATCCAATTTGTTCCTGCAGTGGAAAAAATTAATTCCTGATCCCCCGAGAGGCAATCGGATATTCCCTGGATCAACTTTACCTATAAATGTTAGTATCCAGTTATATTGTGTATATCTAAAGTTGCTGATCGCTGCCATTACTAGTATAAAAAAATAAATAAACATTCCAGTACATATACTGCCATTTGTAGACGCTATAACTTTCACTTAAACCAATTATTTACACATATTGGGATTTTTGTTTAGCAAAGGCATGTAACAGAATAGATTTTGGCCTAAATTTATGAAGAAATATTTTTTATTTGGATATATTTTATAGTAAACAGTTAAAAATACTGTTTTATTTTTCCATAATTTACAGTTTTTTTTTTTTGCTTATAGCGCAGAAAAATAAAAAAAAAAAAACCACAGAGATGATCAAATACCACTGAAATAAAGCTCTATTTGTGGGGAAAAAAAATGAAAGGGGGTAAATTCTCTGGAGGGAAAGTGGTTAATATCAGGATAGTTAAAATCCCCCATTATTATCACTGTCCCAGCCCTTACAGTCCTTTCCATCTGTGCAAGGAGCTGAGTCTCCACCTCCACATTAACACTGGGAGGCCTATAACAAACTCCAATGATTAACTTTGAACTACACACATCCATATGCAGTGCCACCCATAATAATTCAGCCTTATCACACTCTCCATCAACCAGGTCCTCTTTCACACTTGCTTTGAGATCACTTCTCACATAGGCAGACACCGCCACCTTTACGTTTTGCTGTATCTCTCTGAAAGAGAACATAGCCAGGAATATTAATGGCCCAGTCATGTGAAGAATGAAGCCAAGATTCAACAATACCAATTAAATCATAGTTTTCTTCGTGCACCAAAGCTTCCAACTCACCTATTCTGCTTGTCAGACATCTGGCAGAGATGAACAAGCACTTTAAGTCATTATCACATTTTGTTTTTGTGTTTTTAATAACTTTTTAGTAGTACAAATAGTACTATAATTTCCAATGGTTGTTTGTAACATGGGGACCTTCCTATCACCTGCAATAACCCTCCCCCCATTCCACCCTCCATTATTGTCTGACTCCTAACTGATCTGTTTGCCCCACTGAATTCTACTTCACCCTCCCCTCCCTCAATCCTAGTTTAAATACTCCTCCAGCCTTCCCATAAACCTCATCCCAAGCACAGCAGACCCCCTTCCATTTAGGTGCAAACCATCTTTAGCATACAGGTTGTAACCCAATGAAAAGTCAGCTCAGTGCTCTAGAAAACCAAATTCTTCCCTCTTACACCAAGTCTTTAGCCATGCATTCAGTTCTCTAATCTCCCCGTCTTTCCTGTGTTGCGCATGGCACAAGCAATATTTCAGAGAATATCACCCTAGAGGTCCTTCCCTTCAACTTGCAGCCTAGTTCTTTAAATTGAATTTTAAGGAGCTTCCACCTTCCATGTATTCTGTCATTGGTTCCAACATTGACCAAGACAGCTGGGTCATGCCCAGCCCTTCCTAATAATTTATCAATCTATCACATGCTGAACCCTGGCTCCAGGGAGACAGCAAACCATTTGTTTGAGGCAATCCTGGTGACATATTAGTCTATTAGTCCTTCTGATTTATATAATCCCCTTATACCACCAGGGGCAGACAGACAACTCATGGGGCCCCTGAGCAATAGGGGATCATGGGACCCCTGTGACCTTGCCCAAACTCAAAAAAGCCTATGAAAAAGGTACCAGGGGCATCTCATGGTGCCCCCTACTGACCCCGGACCCTCGGGCAGTGCCAGAGTTTCCAAATGGTCAGTCCGCCCCTGTATACCACCATCTATCTAGGCCTTTCTGCACTACCCTCACCACCCATACTAGATGGGCTTCGGTTAAAGGTATGAATGATAAAATGAAAGCCAGCCATAGATAGATAAAAGCAGGGGCAGTACTAGTACTTCAGTACAATCTGCCTGACAGATTTCTTTATTGTGATCATTGCTGGTGGCTATAGATGCAAACAGTGATCATTGTATTCTGCTGACAGGGAAGGATTTCTGATGGCAGAATGCAATAGCCCTGCGGGAGGCATTTGATTTCCCTACCAACTCTGACTGTGTTGATGGAGAAATTGAGCAATTTTGTTTCTTTCCACCCATTGTGGAAGGAAAGAAAATTGCATAATCTATAGACTGCTTTAGTGTGTGGGAGAGGATGTAGCTTTAATAAAACTGTGGCCACTACAAGCAGCAGAGATACATTCATGCTAAATTCTTGCTTGAATTTAATAAATATTATGATAAAAGTTAATAAAGATGTTATGTATGACTTTTAAAAACTCTTTTTAGGTTAGTAAAAATAAAATAAATCTATGTTCACTTTACACAAGAATGTGAAATGAAATAAAAAAAAAAAAAAAAGTAAAAAATGGTTTAGTATTGTACATGATTGGATTATTGACATACACACAGAGTTACTGTGTTCACTAAGCTACTTGAACACTAGTTTTGATAAGTTAACATTCTATACTTCTTCAGTAGTTCAACCTCATAAAATACTTGATTGTTTTAGATGAAGTGAGAACATAAACAAAAAGCTGCCTAAGAGTAAAGATCTTTGCAGGTAACATTTTTTTTTTTTAACAAGGATATTTCAAATTTTAAATTATCCCATATTCGTCATTTGCCATTTATCATGTTTATTATACACTAACTCTGTCCTTGAATGAAACAATGAAGGAACATCAGCATTAGTGTTTATCTTGGTATACATCTCTTTGTCCCGTAATTACAGTTTGTCAACTATTTTTAAAAGCTTAACGTAATTGTAAATCTTTTTTTTTTTTTTTTCAAAATAAACATGTAATACTTTCCTGCTCTGTCCAATGGTTTTGTACAAAGCAGCCCCAAGCCTCCTCTTCTGGGGTTCCCCCGATGGCAATCTTGGTTTCTCATCTTCTCCGAGTTCTCCCATAGCAAGCCACTTTCTGTGGAGGCACTCTTGTGGGCCTCAGCCCTGGATTGGGCTGTGTGCGCCTATAGACACACACACACACAACCCAACTCGGACCTGTCCCACTCCCTCCACACAGGATTTTACTGACAGCAGCAGAATCAGGCTCAGGTAAGTGCTTAAGATGGGGCTGGGGGAGCAACTTTTAAAATGATTTTCACCTAAATACAGAGAATGCATTAAAGTAAAACACAATTTTGCCTTTATAACCATTTTAATAATAGCATATTACAAAAAATAGCCATGCCAAATGATCTACCACTTTTTTTCTACTGCAAGTAGTGTCAGAAATAACCAACGTAAATTCAAATAAAGGAAGACCACTGGCGTCTATAAGCGCTGACAAACAGCAATAATATATCTATGTAAGAATAGGTAAGCATCTCGCCTTATTGCCTCAACCCAATACAATGTTGAAAATAATAATAATACTATGTATTGATTGCTTATTTTCCCAAGAAATGTATTAAGCCCATGATTGAAATGGATCATTTTGTTTTGGGAAATTTAGAGGTTAATATTGCTGTTCTTATTTTAAAAATATATAGCATAGATATTTCAGTTTAATATACTCTGATGTAAGAAAGAATTTAAAGTAGCTTGCATTAATGATATTAGTGTCTGTCAAGAATTTGGTATCAAGAAGGAGAAGGATTGTTTTTCTTAAAGTTCCTTCTTTTGAGGCTAATTAGATCCTATTGTTTTATTTTTTACAAATGTAGCAGAAAAATAAAATATGCAAGAAGGAATTTCAGTTTAATTGAATTCCCCAGTGTAAGCTGAGGTCCGTATAGATCAGATTTAAAGTGGTATTAAAACCCAAAATGTAATATATTGCATCTTACCACTCCTTTTATGTGGTGTTGCATTAGTTTTCTTTCTTTTTTTTTTAGGCTTTTCTTCCTTTATGTCACCTGGTGATCCATTCAGTAACGCATTTCCTGTCTAAAGCCTTGTACACATGGGCTGAAAATCTGCCAAAATTTGTCGGTTCAGCAGGAAAAAGCTGACTTTTGGTCTGTGGGCTCAGCTGTCTGTTCTACTGAAGGCAGTCTCATGACCAGCTTCTATCGACGTGGCATGCTGGAAAACCAGCATCTGATCTGCATCAGATCAGCGCTAACAGCCAATGGGTGCCAGCGCAGATCAGAGTAATCCATCAGAATACAATAGCACAGTGGGGGAGATTGATGCATTAACATGGCTTGTGTTAGTACGGCATCTATGCAGTCTGCTGGGTTGAACAGTAAAAAAAAAAAAAACTTCTCGTGTGTGCCAGGTTTTATGCCCCGTACACATGATGAAAATATCGGACGAATGAGCGGCTGGTTTTTTTTTTCGCCTGCTAGTCTCACATCGAAAGTGAAAAGGTTACTAAAGATACGAAAATTCTCCTATGAAAGAAAAGAATTTCGAAAGTGATGTCATGTATTGCGTTGTATTTGTATTGTATTTTCAGATGACTACTGTACTGATGTTTGGTATCTATTTACTCTGTGTAACATCATCTTTTATATGCTACCAAACAATTGGGTATTAAATTGTGTTTTTGTGCAGTCAAATCCATTCCAAAAAATGTGTGTTTGCAAACCGCTGCACAAATACCGTGTGACATAAAAATATTCAATACCCACCTTTTTATTCTCTAGAGCCTCTGTTAAAAAAAAAAAATCATTTTATATATATATATATATATATATATATATATATATATATATAGTTTGGGGGTTCTAATCCTTTTTCTAGGACTTTACATGTAGGAGGGGAATGCCAGAATTGGACCAGACAGGAATTTGTTTCTCATAGCCCTTTTTGTTTTTTCTTTAATTGTTATGTTATTTTACGATTATACTATAAAAGGTTTATTTTCAGTATGGATCATTGGTAAAGTGAATTATTCCTCATAGACGCTTAGTCCAGGACTTAAACCATTTAATGTGGACAAACTCTGACCTATAAAGCTTTAAAGTATGTTTATTTTATATTATTTCGGACAATTCTGCATTTTCTATTTATGTGGTGAACTGTATTACAAAAAACTTTCCCCCCACTAATATCTACTCTCTCTCTCTTTGACCACTCAGGAGAAATGAGTGGTCAACCAAGTAATCCAAGTAAAACCATTCATGTCTCTTTTCAGTTTACAGAGTCCCTCAAAACATTAAATTGGCCAAAATACAAAACAGTATACATTTTTGCAATGCCCTTCAATCTTCACTAGCTTTATCCCACATCATTTCCAACTACACTTGTAAAATAAGGTTCACAGGGTACACAAGTTAATTAAGGTTATTTTTCAAAATGGAATGAAGTCTTTGTTAGCACCCTATCCTAAAAAAAAAGAGCAACATTTTGATTGGTTTACTTGCTGTTACCAGTCGTTGCTGGGAGCTACCACACAAGCTTGTAGGCAGGTGCCACTGCAGGTGGCACTCAACCACAATGGCATTGTAGAAGGAGAGAAATTCAGGAGGAACCCATTGCCCCATAGTTTCCTGGGTCACTGGGGAAGTGAACTGTTTGGATACATCCACCCCATGTACCCCCAGCGGTAATCTTGGGTCAGGCAAGAGACGCTGGCTATCAGGCTTGGTGTGCATTAGTGGACAGGGTAGGGACAGGTCACTAATCTGTCAGGGAAAGTGGTAGGGAAAGGTTCCAAATGCGTAGGGACAGGTTAGGGACATCCTTTCCAGAAATCCTCCCTATTGGGCACAGACTGGCCAGTCTGCATTCCACCCTCACAGACAGATGCTGTTGGCACGACAGAACGTGCTCCACTCTTCATTTCAGTCCTGAACTGTGAGTGGTACCTGTGAGTGTTACCAGTCAGGTGTTCTCTGACTGGGTTCTTCATGTCTTTGGGATGTGACTTCAAGTTTGGTTATTTACAATTGGACTTGTTTACTGTTGCTGCACCATGCTGCATCCACAAACAAGCTAGTCTATATTATCTGGCAAGGAGTGGAAATGGATAACATATTCTCTTTAGAGTTCTGTTCCCTGGGTAAGCCTATGGCTACCATTAGTGACACCTGAAACCTGCCCATAATTTACTAACTTACCCATAGGTATTACCTAAAAACCAAATTATAGCTCAACCTGACTTAGCTCAATGACCATTTGAGAATTATGCTCCCAAATTTGATCAAATTTCATCAACTAGTGACCTTGGCTAACTCTACTATAATCTTCCCCACAATATTATGTTTACTGCTACAGTATAGATGTGCTTTAGCACAAAACTGTAATTTCCATTTTGCCTTGTTATAGGAAATATTCTTTTTTGTTTGCCCCTTTATAAAAGCCAACAAGGCATACTGTTCACCATTTTTATCATGCCATTATTCTAAAAGCAAAACTGCTTTTTTCTGAAATATAGATCCAAAAGATCCTTAGGAGATGTTTTATTTTACTCCAGTTTATCACACCATGGGTAGAAGGGGAACATAGATTATTTCTAAATGTCATGAAGATCTAGAACGGCAAGATATTTTAAATGCTTTAAGTATTTTACTTTAGATGTTAAATAAAAACAAGAAAGAGCACAGGCTATGTTAATGTGACTGTTTGTTGTGCAGCCCTCTGATGTGTTTTCAAACACTGCTGTTTCTGTTGATGTTACACAGCAATGTTCTATCTAGCTAAGGTCAGACATACTTTGCTAGAATTCATTCACTGTCGCATGCTGCTGTGCCACTGTTTCTGCTTTCAAAGGACAAGCAGTTATGTAAGCCAACAGGCAGACTGTGGAATAATGAAGACTAGCTGAAACCAGCACATATTGATCAAATCAATATCTTCTACACAGTGTGAGCTATCATAGCTTTGCTTGTATAACTGTGCATGATGTCTCGTTATGAATCTGAACTGATTACACAGTAGGCATAAGGATGTGTTGCAGTTTTGTGTTTTTTTTTTCTTTCAAAACCATCTTATTTTATAGATAATCACGAATATACTATCATAAAAAAGATTTTGTTAAAATGTATATTTACTAATTCTTTAAGGCTAACCAAAATGTACAAAAAAAACTAAAATAATTTGGTTACTGACAAGGCCAGTGGTGTTCAAATTGTGTCAAAAACCCAACAGTTACCAGTCCTGGGGCTTGTTATCTATGCATACAATGTCTATGCTAACACACAGTCAAATGTACAGTATATATAGTATACTTACATAGTAATATGGATTTATACAAGCACCAACATGCATATGTATTTACTTATAGTCACATATATGCATGCATTCTCACACACATATATACACACACATTCAAAATGCAAATATGAACATGGGAAAAGGAATTAGGAACACAGTTGAATGAACAACGGAAAAAGAAAATATTTAGAATTGCACATAGGGGCAACAGATATGAATACACTGGAGATGAACTACAAATTCCTGATTAGATGGCATGATAAGCCGAGTAGAGTTCAAAAGTACCACCCAGAGAATTCTTTGCTCTGTTGGAGGGGATGTGGGATAGAGAGTACAATGGCACATACAGTATATGGTGGGATTGTTGCAAGATGCAGGATTTCTGGCAGAGGATAGTACAACAAACAATAGAAATTACAGGAGAAAGTATAATAATGGCCCCATGGGTATGTTTTTTTCATAATACTGGTCTTACATTAAAACAATATAAGAACGCAATTGTATTTAATCTAATTAATGCAGCAAAAGGGTTAACACCCAAATTCTGGAAGGCCCTAGAAGCACCAAATGTTAGAGATTGGATAAAGAGGGTCAAATATAGCTATAGGAAAAAAATACTTTATCTCAGTGGAGAGGATAAAATGGGAAATTTTATAAAAACATGGGAGAGATGGTGTGAATTTAGGACTACACAGAAATATGCTGACCTGATGGGATTAAGAGGAGAAGGAAAAAGTAGAGAGGGAAACAGAGAGATAAGAGGTATAATAAAGGTGAAGAGAGAGTAAACAGAAGAACAAGAGGAGAAGAGAAGGCGAGGTTTCAAGAGATGGGAAAGGGGGAGCAGGGGAGGGGGGGTTAAATTGGAATGTAAAATGAGTAGAAGATTATGTGTTAGTGTTGTGTTGGAATTTTGTAGAATGTAATCAATAAAAATATAATAAATATTAATTGAAAACAAAAATTGTCTGCAGGTATCCCCAGAGGAAGTACGAGCCATGAGTCAGGGAGTTGAGTACGTAGCCAAAAGGGTGGTGTATGCTACAGTAGTGGGAGCCTGGAGTGCTTGCATCCCATCCTAATATTGCAATGTACCTCAGTTGAAAGGTGAAGAGTTACCACAGCTCACCAACAAAGATATGAAAGAGGCTCAGGATCAAAACTCCCTCTGTCAGCTCACAAGAAGAGCTCTGGTGAAAAAGCAACCTGATTTATTGTGGGTAGAAGATCCCCCTGATGCCAAGATTGTCCATAGAAAGTGGGACAGATTGGAATTGAGGGACGGGGTGGTCTACTGAAGAGGCCCCTCAGACTGACGTGAAGATCTATGGCAGCTTTTTTTACCCACAAAATTCCAAATATGGTATTTAAGTCATTACATGATGATCATGGGCACCTGGGGCAGGAAAGAACCTACCTGTTGGTGAGAGATCAGTTCTATTGGCCATGTATGAAATCTGAAGTAGAGGAGTACTGTTGCACCTCTCTCAGCTGTATCCAAAGGAAGACATTACCTAAACAAACCACCCCCTTGGGCCACCTCCAGAGCCAAGGACCAATGGAGCTGGTGTGTATTAATTATTTGTGTCTGGAACCCAATCTTAGTGGGAGGGGGAATGTCC